CCAGCGTGCGTCCCGCAGTGCGGCTCTGTGCCAGCGCGGGGCAGCGTGGGGAGACACAGGCTCCCAGCGCAGTGGCACTGCCTGGCACGGGCACACTGCTTCACGTGCCCACTTGCGGCACCATGGGACAGGCGAACTGCTGCGGCGGGAGGCGTGCTGCCAGCCCCACTCCCAGCACGCAGGGATGGCCCAAGGACCTTCGCCGGATCCTGCCCGAGACCCTGCCTGTCTCGTTCTCACCAAATACTGAGGAAGATAGGGGCAGCAGCTCACTGGTACAGAAACAGAGGATCTTTCTGTTACCGCTCACGGTTCGGTTGATGCATAGCTGTCAAGGTAAGAACTGCCCCTGTGGCTGTGACTCCATCATGCCTTGTGCCTCAAGGACGTCACCTTTCTTTCCTCTTTTGCACACAGAATTAGTAGGACCTCGTTCTCACCAAATACTGAGGAAGATAGGGGCAGCAGCTCACTGGTACAGAAACAGAGGATCTTTCTGTTACCGCTCACGGTTCGGTTGATGCATAGCTGTCAAGGTAAGAACTGCCCCTGTGGCTGTGACTCCATCATGCCTTGTGCCTCAAGGACGTCACCTTTCTTTCCTCTTTTGCACACAGAATTAGTAGGACGCTCTGGGTTTCATGCCAAGGAAAGAGCCTTCCTGCTCCAAGGCTCTTTCCGGACAAGGCGAGATGAGATCAGCCTTAACTTCCTACCCAATATCCATGGGGTGACAGGAGCAAAGGCTTCTGTGTTGTCGGGTAGCCTCTACCAGAGCTCACGGTGGCTTTTCCCTCTCCTGCCTGACTGCCCCTTCCAAAGCTTGGAGTGACAACTTCCCTTCACGGCACAGTGCTGCTATTGGGGCATAGGGACCTGAGCTGGTTCCTATAAACATCCCCCTTTCCTACACTTCTACTGGCGTGGGAGCTTCTCCAGGCAGTTGAACTATCACAGGGCACAAGTGGCCAGCATCAGCATCTGAGGAATCGCAATATTTGCCAGCAGTGTTGTAAGAGAACTTTAACGTTTTAGATTTTAAGAGAGCATGGATCTAGCGATGCAGATGTTGAGCTTTTGTGAGTCAGGCAGGCATTGTCTGAGGTTGGGAAGATGGCTTTTGATCAACATGCGTATGGTATAAGGATGTTATTTCATATGTGAATATCTATTTGCATTTAAAAATAGAAAGGGCTATATGGTGCACTGCAGTGATATTCCACACTGCAGTTTGGACAACATTTTCATTCCCAGATTGTCTCCAGCTCCCTAAATGAAGTGTATTGGGTCAGGGTTGGCTCTCTGACTGGAGCTCCTCATCTGCCTCTACGGTGCAATATTCTGTGCTACAAGGTGCCACAGACTGTGCACAGAAAGCAGAGCTAAACAACTGCTATTTTAAACTCATAAAAGATTAGTAAGCCTATAGTACAAAAGAGTTACTTCTCAGTAAGTGGTAGCAATAAAGTAATAATGCCGCACTACTACTAAGCAAAGCACACCGAGGAGAAGCTTGTGCAACCAGAATTAAGAAGCATAATTATGATCGTTTTAGCTGATGATGTCATGTCTCATTTGGACATGATGTCAGTGGTGTACAGCTTCAGTTATGGTAACAGCAGGGGAAGGCTGGTGGCTGTGGGTCTTGTTTCAGATGATCCTTTTCATACCACCGTCCAAAAAGCGTCACAGTGATGACTGGCTTTGTTGGTCCTATCTTACTTATCAAACGCCCATCACTCAGCACCTAATTGAAGAAGATAAGAGAAGGATAAGGAGGAGTACTCATAGGAACAAGTTAAAAGCTTACAAAGATGTGACAAAACAATGAGAAGGTACGTCAAACCCTATTGCTCACGGAAACCAGTGACTTCGTTAGGCGGACATTGAATAAATCGGACTCCTCACTACGAGCAAGTTTTCTTTGGCTTTTCTGAGACAGCTTACTCCCTTACTAAGCCCCAGAGAACCTAAGGTGAAACAGTTCAAGGGCATCCCATTACCTCAAATTCCCCAGGGGCCAGCTGAACCCCGCTGTACAGGACTTCTGGAAAGACGTAGTGAGTGCCGAACGTGCCGCTCAGGGAGAACGTGTCAAACTTGGTCTGAGCAGTCTCCACGGGCTGCCCACAGCTTTTCAGGTCTGTGCTTTTACACTTCAGCAGCGTGCATATCTGTGGGGGAGAGAAAAAGACAACATATTTAGCAAGACGGACACACTCCGGGTAGGAAACCCTTGTGTCATCAAATCCAGTGTGTGACAGAGCAGGTGATTGCCACAGGATATCTTTCATAATCCTAAGGCAACTTCCTTTTAGTTGTAGCTTAATTTTTTCACCCCTTGATCTGACTGGAACATGTTCCAGAACTACACCGCTTTAGGAGATAGAAATGACCTTAGTCGCTGGTGAAAGCACTGCTGGAGCAATTTCTTTCATGCCTGAAGGCCAGTCCTGTCACTTCCACTAATTCTTCCAATTCTTTTCTATGAAGACTCCCTTTTCACATGTCTTAAGGAGAGATTGTGGGTGGAAACTTGGAACAAAATGAAACAAATGAAACAGATCTCCTCATAAGTCCATTGTACAACTGCAAACTCGAGACCTTTTACTGCCATTTGTACATGTTGCTAATGAGAACCCAGGAGATGGTCTCGTAGCTGATGGGAAGCCTGGATTTGATTATCTCCATCCAACTCCTGGTGAACAGCTGTCCAAGTAATGAAGCAAGCATGGCCTGTCACACCTTTGTGTTAGCAGTTGCAGCACACAGAGGAAAATAGTGCTGGTAATGTAGACCGACTATACTTTGGTCCTGGGGGTTAATTCTCCAGCTTTAATTTGATAGATGCTAAAGGGAAGCGTGAAGGAACAAACCATGGGGTTAGCACTCCTGTGAAGACTTAAAGGATATTGGCTGGCTTCGTTGTCAGGGGATGGAGGAGCTGGTCTACTTTTGTGCCAGATATTAAACATCAAATGTACTGTTCATCAGCAAACATGGTTTCCTGTGGAAGTGCAAATGAGCAGAAATAAAGATTCTGATTCTCTCAGATTGCTCTAAGGAAAAGGACAACATTACTGAGGGGAAAAAGGACAAGTCCCGCCTTCTCTAGAACAGTCAGTCCTGGTAGGGACCATCTGCCCCCTCTTCCATGCGCACTGAAATAAATTGTCCAGGCAAGCCCACCAAGAACACTGATTCTATTAAAGCTACCTTCTTGAATGCATCAGATGAGCTATTAGCTGGCTAAGAGCTCCCCTACCTCGTGGTTATCAAAGTAACTCCTAAAGATGGATGTGATTTTGGGGGGGAGAGGCTGTGGGGAGAGATTCCAAACACTTCCTACAGATACTCCTGCCTGCCTAAGGAAAAAGGAAAAAAAAAAAGAAGGAGCCAGCGCCCTCTGGGAATTTGAAGGAGGTTTAGAGACCTCTCCACTGCCACCGAGCTGAAGAAGACGAAGATGCCAGATTTCCTCTGTCAGGTGATTGCTGTGCAAACGCAGATGTCTGCACACGTTTCAGTGTCAGAGGCAGACACGGTGGGTGGGGGTTTCAAGCACCCTGAGGACCAGGTGAAAGATCCACCAGCATGTCCTCTGGGGTGGGGTCGCCAGCCTCACGGTTGTTATGCAGAGGCAGAAGGAGGAGAGGTGACCGCTCAGATGTCATCTTGCTGTTGTCCACAAGTGTATGCTCCTGTAAGAGTTGTATAAATAGTGCAACTGTTAGCAAAAATAGGAGGCAGGAACTCAGGTAGATCTGGACCAACATGTCACTCTAATATTTATCCCTTTTGCTCCCTATAATGGTACCTACAACCTTTTCCGATCTTTAGGGAGGCGAGGGAAGGAGTGTGCTGGATTTAAAGCTAAATAGACATTTCAGTAACTGCTTCCCATTGCTGACAAATAGGACTCCAGGGCTGCAGAACAGAAGAAGAAAGTCCCCATCCCCATCCGAAGCTGAAGATTTTTCCCTTTAAAGAAGCTTTCTAGAATAACAGCCCCAAAAAGGAATCATTACCTGGAGGTAGTATTGTCCTTCAACCACATGAAGCCCATCAAAGGCACCTAGCACATAAACTTCATCTTCTTGTTTCTCTGCCATCTTGTAATTCAAGTGACAGCAGAGGACTTTCTGGCAAACTGTGAGATTCCCTTCCGGCTTAGTGAGCTCAGTGAAAGTGAACCTGTCATGGAAGATGAGCCCACTGAAATCATGGTCATTTGGTGAGAATCTCTCGATGCTTTGAGCATACGAGCTCCAGTTGACAGCAGGAGGGTAGGCAGGAGAAATGCGAGGGTGTGAACTGAGTTGAGCAACAAGGAGGTGACCATCCTCTGTTTTCATATTGTAATAGTATGCTCTGGCTCCATCTGGTGCATAAATACCACTTCCTGAGGAGAAAACAATTTTGAGTTCAAAAAGAATCAGACATTTCATATTGTCCTCTTAATTGCCCCATTGCTAATATATTCACCATTTTATAAGTACTGCGGAAATGTTAGGGTCCTCAAAGCAGAACTTTAACAACTCAATGCACAGAGATCATACTTTGGCAAAGAATACCATTTGTGTCTCCACATGAGGTCTGCTTAGCGTAGCCAAAAGGCAGAGGGGTACCTTATGGTTTTATTTACAGCCTCCCCAATTCTCTTTTCTCCTATACAGAGCTGCATGAGAATTCCTCTGTTCTGGGTTTGCTGATGTAAAAGGATCATCCACTAGTTGAGAATGTCCAAAACATAAACACATGCAAGTGTCACAGGCCTCTCCTGATAGACATGGAAGGGCAGCTCTGTAGCCCAGTTTATACCAGTTGAGAGCTCCCTGTATGGGGAATCCGCACCTGTCAAATGAGGGAGGGAAATCAATGCACCTACAAGGAAACATATGTCACACCCTATATTGCCGAAGAGCTCTGCCCCTCAGTCACATAATATGGATAACAAGCAGCGAATTGTTAGGCATTTCAAACATGAAGCCCCAGGCAATACTGCGATTTCAGAACACAGTAAAGATACTTGCCTGGTTAAAATATATTATCCCATAAGCTAAGCTCTAGAAAAACACAGTGCCGCCCTATTAAAAGATACAATGTTATTAGCAGCATTTCCGCAACAGGCCTGAAAACTTGTTTTTAATAATTTTTCCACAACTATGTTAAATATAGCTACAAACAAATCTTGCATTTGGCCAGAATAAACGGAATGATGCACTGGGTTTGCAAGTATATTTAGAATTCTGCATTTAATAGCAGGATCACGGATGGCAATGAACAGAGCCTAAGTTTCAGAAGTTTCTACTCAGATAAAAGGGGCAGTAGCTTAACTTACAGCTTGCTTAGAGATAGTAAAAGAAGGAAAGGAAGTCCCTAAGAAGCTAGGGAGGAGAAAAGAAGATACCATGAATTTTGTTGTGCCTTATATAGCATTAGTTGGGATAATGCTCCTCGAGTTTAAAATGTCATGACTGAAGTCTTCAGCTTCCAAATAAATGGATTATAAGAGCAAAAAAATCACCTTGTAGAACCTTGTAGAACAGAGAATAAAGACTCATGATTACAAAGATTTTTCAGACACTTAAAATTAATTACCTGTCATTGCCAAGCCAGTGTTGTGTGTATTTGCTGAAAGTAAATTGACACCCATACCCATAGCCCAGGCAGAGTGAAATTCAACAGCAGTCAAAAATGGCAAGACATTCATCCAAGCAGTTGGAAACAGCACAGTGTCCACCTGTAACTCGCTCACCAGGACCACCGCAGGCTCACGGAAAAGTATGTCGAAACAAGTGAAGATGCCAAACTTCCCAAAGGGTGTCTCAAAAGTGACGGTCTCTGGCTCTTTAGGGATATTAAACTGAGTTTCTGACATAAAGAGGTTATACTGTAGGGAAAATAGGGAAAAGGAAGAAAAAAAAAATTAGAGAGAGACAGAGAGAAAACAATTACAAGACACCTACTGCAATATCCTGGTGTCATTGCATAAAACTATTCAGAATGACTAAAGAAGCTTTTTTCAATCTGCTGAAGCTATTTTTGAAGCCTTCATATGTAGAAAGTCAGGCTAAGATTGGATGATCACTACAGCACCCAAAAGGTGAATATGGGGAGACAGATATTGTCCTGGCATCTAGACAGAAAAGCAGCTTGGTATCTGCAGATTTTTTGACTTTGATTTGCCACCTGCTACACCCATGAAAATAATCTCTTCAGCCTCCCCATGTTCTTTAAAATTCTGACAACCCAAAAGGCACAAAGAAGAGACATAATAATAGAAGAGGTATGCAGAGGAAAGAAAGAAAAGAAACAGAATTGATAACCCTGATGCAGAGATGCATGGAAGGATTGGAAGCACACAGGTCCAAGAAGAAGTGTGAGATATTACAGTGAGACCCGAAACAGAAAAGAAAAAGGTTGCAATGGTGGGAAGGGGGCAGGTGGTCTCAGCCAACAGAAAAATCCAAGCATGAGAGGTTCTCTGCAGTGCAACGTTTTCCTTCCAACTTTTATTCTCCCTTAAGGTTTGCCTTTACTTAGAGTCCTTTTACTGTCCAAGTCACTTGGACAAGAAACACACGTAACCAAAAGCAGGTTACGTGCTAGTAAGCAGGTTCATGTTTACTGGTGCAGTATTTCAAACCTGAACTTGGAACCCAGCTCCAAGTTGGGCTGTGCCTGGCTGGCACAAGGGAGACTTCACTTCAGCAATTGTAAGTTTTTCCCTCACCTGCTTTGCTCAGAAACAAATACCTTGGCAACATCCATGAAAAACTAGGTGAAATAACGAGTCCAAAGTGCATTAAATAAACAACTGACTTCAGACTGTCCTTGCCAGCATGTTTGATATCTGGCACACTAAGCCCAAACAACTTTGATGTACCTTGCAGGTACCTACAGGTACATAAGACTGGAAAAAAGAAAAGATACTTTCACTGGGTACAATTGTTTCAATTCAGTCATCTCTTTTTACTCCCAGCATATCCAAATAATTCCTGTTAAGCAAAAATTGGGCTGAAACGAAACATCACTGGGGGAGGGGAGGGAGACAGAAAAGGGCCAGTCTGCCTCAAATCAGACTATTCCTGTAAGATGAGAGGCAGCTAACATTTAAATTCCTGGAATATGAAGGAATAGTCTGAGGCAAAGCTGGCACTGAAAATTTAAGTTTTTTTCCCCCCCCCTTGCTCAAACAGCAGGATTTCCAGTAAAAGGGAGTTAATAAACTGAGGAAGTCAGCTAAAAATATCTGCCACTAAATTGGACCTGAGCAGTCATTTTTCATTCTAGTCTGCTTTTAGAAATATCACAGTAAATACAGGTTTAGAGTCAATGCCTTCCAGCAAAAGAGATATTCTTTTAAATTATGAATAAAAGCAAGAAAAAAAAAGAGGTAGGGCAACTGCCATGGGATAATAAATGGAATTAAATTCACTTTTAAAAGGATATATTTTGGAAGCTGTGGAAAAATAGGTCCTAGCTTTCCAAAACCATTTCTTACCTTATGATAACGTGCTATTAATTTCCCTTCTGAATCAAAGACAACATCAGTATTGTACTGATAGCGACCGTCTCTGGGGCAGCTGGGATCACTGGAGTTACACGACTTCTTGTCTCCAATGTTTGCCACCACATAGATAGAGTTATTCCTGGCCATGCAGCTGAGTCGTTCCTGCACTGGTGCAGGAGCAAATCTAATGTGTTTTAGACAAAAGAGAAAAAAAAAAGACAAACAAATAGAGGGTGGAGTGTAGAAGGTCCCCTGGCGGCATCTCTGATCCTGCCCCAAGACAGCATGGGCTTGGGGCAGACATAGGAGCCCTCCCACCAGCACCCGGAAGGAAATACCCCTGGAGGCTCGCAGGATGCCTCTGAACTGCTCTGTGAATACACTTGCTATGTACAGAGCAGGCCATCCCTGGACACAGCACTCTTCTTGCAGTGCAATGCACAGATCTACTTTCCCCAAACCTATATGCATTAGGAACTGGAACAAAAATGTACTTAGACCTGCTTGCCACCACACACACATTCAATGAGAGGCGATGTATACTTAAGTTACTTATGCCTCAGTTTTAAAAAGCACAGAATGTGCACCTCTCCCAGCACTCACTCCACACTGTTAATCTTCATCTTGAATCCATTGAGGAACATCCTCACATATATAATACTATGGTCTTAAGACCTCATTATCAAGCCTGCATATGTAAAAAGGGCAGACAACCATAGCTGGGACTATGACTCCAGTACTTTTCATGATGTAGGGACATGAAGTCCAGTGCTCAGCTGTAGGTGGTCATGTCGCTGCTGGAACATGATACTCGAATGACTGATCATGTTTCAGAGCACAGATACTCCAGAAATTAGGACCTTATCTTATCTTAATTGTGAAAAGCTAAGATTTGAAGTTTCAGGGTTTCATCATGCAGAAATTTGGACTTTGACTAGTGAACTCATCATTCCATTATTAGTTGCTCAGAAACTAGTTTTCCACAAAAATGTTATGCATGCTTTTATTTGAGCATAGCATTTGCCAGCAAGAAGTAAATACATGAATAAATAATCAAAAACTTTTGTTACAAGATTTTCAATTAGCTCTAGTCAAAATAGTGTGGAAAAAAATGAAACCATAATATGAAGTGGCATATTCTGACAACAAAGCTTTTCTAAATGCCAAGAAAAAGCTTCTACACTTAGCAACCCAAAATCTGTATGTTGTTTAAGGAATTTTTCTTTATGGTGTCTTATTTGGAACATACTTTTTTTAAAAAAAAGAGTTCCCTTTTCAATTGGTCGTGGATATGCTACATATTTTATCATGCAGCTTACCTCGATATCATATTATGCAACTATTATTGAAACTTTCCCTGATATCAAAAGCATTAGCAGTTCTTACACATTCATTGAGAACAGCTCACTGCTCTGTGAGACCCCAGTTTGAAACCACATAAATCACTGCAGAAGGACTCACCTTTTGGGATCAGTGCAGGGAATCCAGTTCACCTCTGGATCAGGAATATCCTCCAGGTAGGGGTAGATGGCTTCTCTGGTGAAACGCCAGCCATAAATGCCGTCTTCAGGAGTCACAATGATGTGGGCACCCTGGCAGGACAGGCTCCGTTAAGAGTTCACCAGGTAACCAGGAGAATCAGCAGAAGGGAAAATGCAAGCTGATAGTGCTAATAATACATCTAGTACCTGCCGGGCGGCTTCCTTGATGGCCCCTTCCAAGATGTCCATGTTTTTGTTCATCAGTGCCAAAGCATCGTCCGGAGAGGGAGGCTCGTTGGCGAGCGCCGGCAGGATCACCGAGTGCTCGTACACAGCCGCAGTGAAGCTATCCCAGGCGACGGCCTGGAGCACTGAGAGGGCGAAAACCGTGCCCTGTACGAGAGGCTGGAAAGCGAGCATGGCTCGTGCCTTGTGGTTCCTGGGAATGGGCATGGGGTATATAAAGCGAATAGAAAAAGGAGTAAAGTTTTCAACAGTTTGCTTTGGAAATAATCATCTATTAAGCAATCTGGGAAAGTACAATGTTATACCGTCAACATTTGAGAGCATTCATTCATGGCAAGAAGTCTAAGAATCACTTCTAGGAATTGCGTGTCATTTTAAATTCAAAATGCTGATGGGAAATAAAAGGCTAAGAGGGCATTCTGGAACAATATTGATCTATAACAGCCTTCCTGGAAATAGTGCTTGCAAAACCTATTTTTACATTCCTCTTCAAGCTTCCAAACCTGATCTCTGGGCTCACATGTCCAGACTCGCATGGTTAGGGCTGACTATTTTCTCTGTGAGTGTCCTCTATCACTTAGAAATCCAGCTGGAGGGGAAGGTAGACAAGCAGCACAAAGTACGGTTCTCATACTTCAGAGAGAAGATTATACCTTTTCTAGATATGAGACATATGGACCTGCCATGCCTCTTGCCTTTGGTGAAGAACTTATTATATTTGCAGCAACTGCCCCAAGAGTGTCCTCCCTCATAGGTTCATGATGTGATTTACACTAACCTTTGAACTGTGTTAATCTTTATGTCTCGACCTGAAATATGTATCTACTTTGTGAAAATGAATTAAACTTCATACAGATTTTTTTACTATTTTTTGATATGAAAAGCAAATTTTGCACAGTGACTGCTTTGCAAATAGCACACTACTACCATAGCCTCCATTTCTTCATAAAAGATCTGCTGTTAGAACTGTATCTCTGATCTCGCACTATCTCTGAGGGTAAACTGACATAACCTGGCTAATAATATTTGCTGTTCAATAAGAAATCAAGGAAAATATTCCTCATCCCAACAATATCTCCCTCTTTACTGTGCAATTTCACCCTGAAATCTTATTTTGTTTTGAAGGCATCCTCAGGAGAAACAGGTATTTCAGTGTCCTCTGACAAGATGACATTGTGCTCATAGACGGCTGCAATGTAGCTGTCCAGGGCACAGGCCTCAAGAACAGACAGGATAAAAACCGCAGCAGAGGCATGACCTTTACAAAGACCCATATCTGAAGCCTGGAAGTCACTCCAAATGAGGACGGGGCAAGCAAAGACAGGTGATTTTATTAAGAAAAGTCTTGCATGAAATTGGGAATTCCCCAGTGCCAGAAAGCCGACACCAAGTGATGCAATCGCCATGTCCGGAAAGTCTCGGGGCATCAAGGGGCAGGAGAGCTGCAAACATTGAGCAATTCTGCGTTACAGCACAGGCAGAGCAGTCACCACTGGGTGCAGCTGAGGAAACGCGTCCCCTGCCAGATTTAAGAACGATACAGGCATGGATACAGGACCAAAGCAACACAGGAATTGCTACAGTGAAGTGAATTGAAGGCAAGCCCAGGTCACAGCAGGAAAACGAGCCAGAGGAGTTTTGAGAAATCTCAGCAAAATCCAGTGCAGACACTTTCCTGGCCAAACTCATGCAGGCAGGGCAGCTAGAGGCAGGGTGGCAGGTAGCTGGCCTCAAGCTCTGAGTCACTGCCGGCCACATCCAAGCTCGCTCAGCACAGAGCCAGCTCAGGGCTATGGGGTTTCGGGAACAATTGCTCAGATTTAGGTGAGAGTAGTCTGGCTATACCATGCACAGTCCCTGCTCATGCACAGGTGCACAGGTTGTACAACTGCTTTGGTAGAACAAACTGGGTATTTAAATATGCCACTGCATGACACAGTCACAGCATTAGCAGGTGGAGTGTTCAAAGGCAATACAAAAACAAATGCCAAAGTTTCACAGAGGAGGTCCCACAGCTCTACCATGTCAACCTCTAAGTGTGGTTCCAGGACCAACAGATGATCACGGCAGAACATGCTCATGAGCCATTTTGAACAATAAACCTGGAAACCAGGATTCCTCTTTAGGTTTGTTTCACCTTCTTTCAACTCCACTGTGTATGTGAAAGGATGAAGAAGGGAAAAGAAATGTATTGCCATAAAGCTACACAGGTTTAGTTAAGCCTGTCTGGTTTCTACTGGAGTTTGCCCAACTTTGAGTTTCAGGACTGAACACAAATTTCATAGAAAGTAGTGATCCTTCTGATAATCTCTGCTGCCTCAAGTCCTCACAGCACAAATCAGGTAGGTAAACAAGTCATCAGCACTTTTGCATCCCATGCCCCTTCACCTTGCAGCTACCTCTGATTCTCACAGCTCTTTATCTGCCTTACCACCAGAAGGGACAGGATTGGTACTTTTATGATAGGATGAGTCTTACACTCCGCAATACAAAAAGGAAAGGGAGCTATTGCTAGGATATTCTCAGAAGACACCTTCCTTTTGCTACCCTGAGGTTGAGCTTTTGTGAGTCAGGCAGGCATTGTCTGAGGTTGGGAAGATGGCTTTTGATCAACATGCGTATGGTATAAGGATGTTATTTCATATGTGAATATCTATTTGCATTTAAAAATAGAAAGGGCTATATGGTGCACTGCAGTGATATTCCACACTGCAGTTTGGACAACATTTTCATTCCCAGATTGTCTCCAGCTCCCTAAATGAAGTGTATTGGGTCAGGGTTGGCTCTCTGACTGGAGCTCCTCATCTGCCTCTACGGTGCAATATTCTGTGCTACAAGGTGCCACAGACTGTGCACAGAAAGCAGAGCTAAACAACTGCTATTTTAAACTCATAAAAGATTAGTAAGCCTATAGTACAAAAGAGTTACTTCTCAGTAAGTGGTAGCAATAAAGTAATAATGCCGCACTACTACTAAGCAAAGCACACCGAGGAGAAGCTTGTGCAACCAGAATTAAGAAGCATAATTATGATCGTTTTAGCCGATGATGTCATGTCTCATTTGGACATGATGTCAGTGGTGTACAGCTTCAGTTATGGTAACAGCAGGGGAAGGCTGGTGGCTGTGGGTCTTGTTTCAGATGATCCTTTTCATACCACCGTCCAAAAAGCATCGTGCCAAAGCATCGTCCGGAGAGGGAGGCTCGTTGGCGAGCGCCAGCAGGATCACCGAGTGCTCCTACACAACCGCAGTGAAGCTATCCCAGGCGACAGCCTGGAGCACTGAGAGGGTGAAAACTGTGCCCTGTATGAGAGGCTGGAAAGTGCACATGGCTCGTGCCCTGTACTCCCTAGGAAAGCTCCCAGTCAGAGAAACAGTGACAAAGGAGCATACACATAAAAGAAAAGAAGGGTAAAGTTTAACTTAAAGGAGGGACAAAGTGCTGATCTGTTAAAGCATTACCTTGGAATCAACATCTGAGATGCAATATGGGAAAGCACATTGTGTTGTAAGGATATCGCAACTCAAAATACTTGAAAATTGGCAACTTAAGTAGCCAAGCACAATACCGAAATAAGTTACCAAACAAGTGAATAGAAAGAGTTATCTGCATTCTATTGTTAGGTTTTTCTTTGCTACCAATTTCAACACACTTTTACACTGCACTTTCTTTTTTTATTAATAGGCATTGTGATAGACTTTTCTGTGCATTTTGGCTCAGTTTTGATATCTAAGTAAAGCGTGGATGTATCACCCCTGGAGCAATGTTTTGTGAAGTCCAAATGACAAAAATGATGGCCCTAGGAACCATTTGCTTTATTCCACTGTCTTTACATTCCTCAAATCCTGTGCTACACATCATTGTTTGTAGCTTGCTTCCCAGAGTTTCTTTAGATCAAAGTCTTTACATTATCCCGCTGTACTTAGAACTGTCCCTTGCTTTTATCCCACCGACTTTCAGAATGGAAATTAAAACAGAACAAAATACTTCCCACAACTTTCAAAACTGATAAAAAGGGCACAAAAATCAACCTCACTTTTAGTTAAGCCAGCTTTTAAAGAATAATAATAATAAAAATAATTTTAAAAAATATTTTAAGGAACTTGATTACATTTTGAGCTGCTTCATCTCTCAGTTTTTACACAAAATTATCTTTTGCTAGGAGGAAAAAATAAGCTCTGGTTTCATTCACACTACAATAGGTAATACAACAGGAGCAACTAACCTGTAGAATAGCTGTAAGTATTACCTGAGGATATCTGACTATACGAAAAGGCTAAAGCATAGCTTTTGTTTTGCTATAGATTACTTTTCAACAGACTTCCACAAGAAAATAAGCATCTGGAGGAAATGTTTTCCCCTTGAAATCAGTCAGGTAAGCTGCCAGCTTGATTGTTTTCCAAGAACCTCCTTGCCAGGCTGCCACTTGCCTGAAGCAGAAGGACAAACTGTTCCCCAGGCTGTGCCTCAGCTCATGTCCCCCCTGCCCAGAAAAAATATGCTTACTGAAGAAGTCATCACCTTTAACCCTTTAGTTCAGTTCAATACAAATACATTTTCCTATGACTTTTTCCACAAAAAAAGACACTCCAGTACTGGCAGTGTTCTCATTTGGGAAAGGTTTTTCCTGAATAGCAGGAAGCAGAACAGGGTGCCTGACTTTTGCTTACGGCAGGCTCTCCTTGTAGAGCTGTTTCTTCTAATCCGGAAGTGCTGTGCGCGAAAGCAAAAGCTAGAGAGTTCCCTGCTAGAGCAGCACGAACTGAGTGAGAGTTTCAAGCATTATGAAAATCAATGTGCATCTGATAATCTGAGTATCTGCAGCCTCTAATCTGAGTATTTTTCTGGGTACTTTGCTATTTATAGCATGCTTATTCAGGAGCCATAAATGGGAGCCTTTAAAAGACTTCAAAAGAGATTTCAGTGATAACTGAAGTAATGCAGCTTGGAAGCCTTTTTTTTTTTTATATTAGTTCTGATTTTCACATCAACTGAAATATGGCTTGTGTCACATTAACCACAGTTAGCCATAAGCCTGAAGTAGGAAGCAGTAAATGTCCCCTTGTTTAGGAACAGCTAAGAAAACATTCAGCCCGGGAAGGCGACTGACCAAGGACAAAAAGCAACAGGCAGAGGGGATGGAGCACTGCCCCACACTGCCCAGGACAGGGACATTTCAGCTGGACGGAGGCATTCCTCCCTGCCAAACCAGGAGGTCACCCAGCAGCAAGGAAATAACCCAGGTTAAAAAAATAAATCTGCTGAATAAAACCTTATGAAACTACAGCAGTGCAGGCTATAGGTAGTGTATGGGGAAGTTCATTTTAGAGCTCCAACTACCTTTCACACCACTGTTCTCCCAGTCCACTCTTTCTTCTCACCCCTGTGTTGTTCCCTCTGCTACTGTCTGAAGATGAGGGCTATCTGAGGACCTACTTGTGCCAAACAGGATATAATCCAATGTCAAATCAGCTTCGCTGTAGAAGTAGTCTGCCTTCAAATTGTTGTCCTGCTTCTTGTGCTGAGAGAGATTCTGTGGAAAGCTACTGTTTAGCTGAGGAGTTAATCTTTTCCTGGACAAATCTGTGTGAAGGGACACACCTACAACTACGCAATCTTTTCACAGAAGCAGTGGGAGCATGCGCTCAGGGGCAGGGAGATCAGAAGCCATCCGTTTTTAGCAAAAGCACATGATTGTGTTGCTTAGGTATAACAGGAAACCATATGCTAGGGTTCAGATAAAAATGTAGAGGCAGAGACTTTTTCTCCATACAAAGCAAGAGTGTTCTCTCTTATTACTGTTACGGAACTGCAGCACTGTGTTACAATTTAATACCAATCTACAAACTAAAATCTGATTTTTACAACATTTACTTTGTTTATTTCATTCAAATACAAAGTATTTTATGTCCACTAAGTCTTTTTTTATGATTTCTGTCAGATTAAATGTGAACATTGCTTTTATTTCAAAACAAACTTTCAGAATAAAAAATAAACTTAACTCTACATAGACAACTTAACCATACCACCTAAAGTAATCCACTTCAAAACACACCTCCTTTTTGGTTATTTTGTTGTTGTTGCCGTTTTCTGGAAACTACACTCTGCTTTCAGTGCAGTGCCTGCACCCACACACATGCAAGTCCATCCAATCTGTTCAAACTATCAGCCAGCCTTTCCTAAAACCTGCCTGCAAATTCCTGACCCTGCCTCATGTCAGCATGAGCAACCATTTCACTGGGAGACAGACACGTACCTGTGAAGTTGCTAATTTCTGAGAATTATTGATAGGGACCCACCTGACTGCTCAGAAAAGATGGTACAGTTTTCACTAGTTTTGTGGAAAGGTCATTTTCCACACTTTAAAACTGTGGCCAGGAAAAGCAGTGTCCTCAAACTATAATTTAGGGTGCAACACAAAAAATATTACAACAGTGTGGGCTGAGTTAAATATCAAGCTTTGAAGCAACAGTGTTTTGAGGCTTTCTTTCTTTTCCAAATAAAATCACAGAATCACAGAATGGTTGAGGTTGGAAGGGACCTCTGGAGATTATCTAGTCCAACCTCCCTGCTCAAGCAGGGTCCTCTAGAGCATATTGCCCAGGATCACATCCAGACGGGTTTTGAATATCTCCAGCGAAGGAGACTCCACTACCTCTCCGGGCAACCTGCTCCAGTGCTCAGGCACCCTCACAGTGAAGAAGTTTTTCCTCAGGTTCAGATGGAACTTCTTGTGCTTCAGTTTATACCCGTTGCCTCTTGTCTTGTTGCTGGGCACCACGGAGAAGAGTCTGGCCTCATCCTCTCAACACCCTCCCTTCAGATACTTACACACATTGATGAGATCGCCTCTCAGTCTTCTCTTCTCCAGGCTGAACAGGCCCAGCTCTCACAGCCTTTCTTCAGAGCAGAGGTGCTCCAGTCCCCTCATCATCTTGGTAGCCCTCCGCTGGACTCTCTCCAGTAGCGCCATGTCTCTCTTGTA